CTCCAGTAAAGTCAACCTCGATTCATCGAAACCGTGGTACGTTCTGCTGTCTAAACTGCGGTAGGACTTACAAGTGGTACCGGGGCCTACTCCGCCACTTGAATTACGAGTGCAATAAATCACCAAAGTTTGGCTGTCCGCATTGCAGTTACAAGTCAAAGCATCGCTCGCACATCTATTCGCACATCAAAGGCTCGCACCAGTACGGCTCCATTTACGCCATTGATCTCGAGCAACAGATCCCTACCAATAACGATTGAATGGGGATGAAAAATACCGTGGAACATTATGTGTGGGTTCAGCGTTCGAGTTGTCACAAAAATCGATTGTGTGAAAACAGCAATCTACAAAAATATTGATAATTTTTGTGTGTAAAATAATAATAATATTAATAATAATTTTTTTTTTCCTTTTATTTGCACATGGCATTGTCTAGTCTGAATAAATGGATGGAAAACAAGAGATTATACGATGAAAAAGTACTCGGTCTGTTTCTTTCCAACCACGTGTCTTTACCACCTCGTACGTCGCTCTCGTCGTTTCTCTCTCTCTGCTCGTATTCGAACCAACAAATCGCCACACTGCTAAAAGTCTCTTCACTCTCCTCTCAATCTCTCACCTTAAATTCATATCTGCGATGCCGCGAGTCCGAAACACGTTTTTGCTGACCCGAGCGATTTTTCTTTTTTCGCAGGCTGGAGCGTTTTGAACACCTTTTTGGCAGCCACCAAGTACGGCAACAGCAACGTCATTGCCAATGACAACATCGGGCTGATCAAGAAATTCGCTTGTCCGTACTGTGAGTTTTAATGCCCTTAGAATAAAAAAAAAAAAAAAAATTATTCACATAAACATTTTGTAACCGTCAATTTTTAAGGTGACTTCAGGAACAAGCGCAAGGACCACATCTACCGGCACATACGTGGCAGGCACGTCGGCCAGACCGTCGGTTACATCGATCTGTCGCTCTAGAAGACTAGTCGTCGTTGTTCTTTATTTCATCATATTGTATTCATTGATTTTTTTTCTTTTTTTTGTTAAACTTATACATTTAAAAAATGTAACGATGAAATTATCGTGTGATTTTTTCTTTTGGTTCCCCAAAAATCAACACTATTTTGGTAACCATGTCTTTAATTTACTCATTAAAATTATGATTTTTTTTTGCATAAGCTACCATTATTTTTGCATGTCATCGAATAAAAAAGAAATTTATTGTATTTAAGAGCCTTAATGAATAAAATCATGTAATTTTGCAGAAAAAAAGAACCTTTTTTTTTTTAAATTATTTAAAAAAAAAAAAAAAATTTCAAAAGTAATCCTACCACTTTATCGTACACATTACCACATTATGAGGCAGGCCACATGACCATCAAACAAACGAACAATATAATTACTTGCTCTTACAACAGTTTAAAATAAAAATATGGTAAAATTTTTCTCTGCTTCGTTCGTGTTGGGAGGATATTTTTTTTTTTCAGCACATCTTTGGGAGTTGAGTACAGATTAACTCAGGAATAATTCGAATTTCTCATCAGGCATCGGTGTAGTTTTTACTATTATTGAGTTAGTTTTCTTACAATTTACTTGACAATGTAAGCAGAGAGTGTGTGTAGAAGTTCAATCTTGTCATTTAAGCTTACGAAATGTGACTTGGATTTCGAAGAAAAACCCAGACAGTAAATTGGAATATTCTGGAGCCGATTTATCTAGAATTTCTCGTATGAAATTCTCTGGGTTCTTATTTGATTGATCTATTTTAGCGTCACGCACCATACACATAATACTTACAAAAAAAAAAAAAAAAAAAAAAAAAAAAAAAAAAAAAAAAAAAAAAAAAAAAAAAAAAAAAAAAAATTAAATGGAAAAGGACAAATACGACTGTGGTCTCATCTCACTTGTTACTAATCGAGAATTGGAAAGATAAAGGAATTGATAAATTTGGTAAACCGGTTAATCCATTTGTAGCAGAGAATACGATTAAGAAATAATCAACTCAAACGGTAATCGTACGAATGAATAACTAAGACTAATGATTAATTATTACGGAACATTTTTGATTACAGGAGCTGTTATTAACCCATTCAGTGCGCAACAGCTCATAATTTGGATTAAAAAAATGTTAATGTAGAAATCATGAATTATTATTATAATGGAGAGGTTGCCATTTCTACAGAGTTAATTTTAAATCTGTCATTGGCAGCTAAATATCCACACATTACTGATCTAGTGTAAAGTATATAAATTGACTTATATGTAAGGTAGACCCTCGTTTCGCCAAGGTGATTCATTATTTTAATAGTGGATAGTTGGTGAACGGTGGCGAAATAGTCTTGAGTTATTATCAGTTTTGATCATTGTTGATCATCTTAATGATTAAGAAGCCAAAGCTATTAATTAAAGAAATCCAGTAAAATACTGCGACTACTGATGAATCCAATACAATTTTTTGTGTTTGATTTGGCAAAATGTAACGACGAGATGACCAAGTTTTTTTTTTTTTTTTCCAAAAAAAACAACACTCGTTTGATAACCCTATTTTTAATTTCCTCACTAAAATTATGATTTTTTTTTTTTTTTTTTTTTTTTTTTTTCCAAAAAAAACAACACTCGTTTGATAACCCTATTTTTAATTTCCTCACTAAAATTATGATTTTTTTTTTCTCCTAAGCTACCATGATTTGTGCATGTCATCGAACGAAGATTTAATCAATTGTACGATGGTAATGACAGCTTTGATCAATAAAAAATCATCAATTGTGTTATGTTACAGAAAAAACAATACAAAACCAGAATTTTTTTTTTTTTTCTTCTATGAACTAATCCAAATTGTCTTTCCCATTTAACATAAACATTATGAAAACGTAACCTTGTCAAACTAAAAAAAAAAAAAACAATATTTTTTGTGCTTACTACGATCATACAAAAAGACGAGAGATCAGTCTGAAACTCCAATTTCCATCGCTAACGAATCTATTAATTTTTCTCTTTCAGATTTCGCTTATAAAAACTGGTCAATGGAGAATGACCTTAGAGCTAATGCCCGACACCCGTGTCCTCGCTGTTACCGCACCTACAAGCATCGCAGTCACATGATACGGCACTACAGGTACGACTACGAAGGGTATTTATCATGTACCGCATAGCCCACAATTTACTACTTATTTTTAGCTAAAGAAGCGAAGAGAAATCAAAGATCTTACGTTGGTAGTGTTAACAGCCTAGATCTGCTAGTTTGCGTATATAGATACTCGAATGATTTTTTCTTATTTCGTGGAAAGTGTATTTTGTACGGTATGAAATAATCTCATGAAATTTCACATCGGTTTAATTTTTTTTTTTTTTTTTTTTTTTTTTTTTTAGAAAAACTGTGCTTTGAAAAAAAAATTGAACAACGTATTTCTCATTGTTGAGCATACAATGTTTATTCTTACACGGTAAACATTTGTTCCATGAATGCATATGTTACCGGTTCAAGTAATACTATCCAGACTTAGCTAGTCAAAGTATATATTTACACCCAAATAATATATATTTTGTATCAAGAGTTGAAATTTTATTAATAAAAAAAAATTGTGGCTAAAAATTTTTTTTTTAATTCACACAGTATTCTCATACTCTGAATAGTTATTGTTAAAAGTGTCACTATTTTTATTGCATTTTGAAAAAATAATTTAACCTCCAAAAAATTGTATAAAATTATCATCCGTGTGATTTACGCTTAATGCGTCATTCCAATCAAAATTCAATACTTGCTAATAAATTGGAATATGGTTGATAATAAATAATATTGAATCTGGTTTTTTTTTTCTTTTTTTTTTTTTCTTTTTTTTTTAGATACGAATGTGGCACACCACAGCGTTTCGAATGCCCATATTGTAAAATACATCTGCGCCAACGTACCCATGCCTGGACTCATATTCGCGCCTTCCACCCCGACCTTGAGATGTACTGCATCGATATAGTTACAAACATGAAACTGACCAAGGCAAGATTGTAAGATGGGATGAGTATTGTGGTTTGATCAGACTGGTTTCAGAAAGAGTCATATTTTGTTCGTTGTTTGAGTGATTGATATTTTTTCAGTTTTTTTTTTCTACCCAAGCCTTAAAACAATTAAGTCGAGGGACAATGTTACCAGATCACAGTAGATAGTATTAGATTAAAGAAAAATTTTTCTTTGATACGAGTATTTTTAATGGTGTGTAAATTTTGAAACCCATCCAAGTGCATTCAAAAGAGTCGACATAAGTTAATTACAAAGGTGCAAACTCAGTGTGGCAGTTTGTTGTATTTAAGTGTTTCGAGTATCATTTGATGCATACATGTTGGTTGCGTGGTTTGTAATCTTTGATGTGGTTTTTTCATTGTTCTGCACAAATTTATTGTATTTTTTATTATGATTCTTATTTTTATTGTAAGTAATAATTTATTTCTAGTCCAAAACCATAATATTTCTGAATAAATAAAGATCGAGATTGACTGTACAAAGAATTTGTAATTCAATTGTATTTGTGAAATAAAACAATTTAATAAAAAAATAATTAGTTTTATTTTCCTCCCTTTAAAAAAACATACGATAAAATTTCATGTTGGTGTAAGCGGGTATTCATGACTGTTTTCGTGAAACTTTTTGTCTTTGTTCTGTTAAAGGTGGAGGGATGAGCACTATTTCAGTAAAGAAAATAAATTTTGTACATCCCTAGGACACTAACAAAGATTCTTCGAGATTGTCAACGTATTATTCCTAATAATAATTATTAGACATCAAGATGTATTCGTTTTTCAAAATGACTTTATTTTACTCTCCTACAAAATCAATATGAATAATGTTAACATCCCTTTGTCAAATACATACATATATTTTTTCTCTACACAATTTTTTTTTTTTTTTCATACATAAAACTTAGATGTTTGCTTTGCAATGAAAAAAAATGGAAAACCAAGGGTCACATGCAAACTCATGTTATATTTTAAAACGTCATCAGTAACACAAAACCATGAACAACAACCATAACAACATCAAAATTCGTAGGTACATCACCGGACCGAAAAATTCAATGCATTCACTAACCATCCAAACTATTTTTCTTTTTTCAGGTTACTTTGTCCCAGCTCAACTTGACCTAAACTTTATGTTAACACCAGTCACATCAACCAGCACAAGTGCAATGTCAACGATAGACGCACAGGCACTAATAAATCATCCTGCACCTCCTAATCAATTGACCAGTGCTTCTCAGCCAATCAAAGCTGACGAATTTTTCAGTCATTTGTTGCCAAAAAATCTTCTACCACCTGTACAGCAGCAGCAGCAGCAGCAGCAGCAGCAGGTCAAACCTTTCGCTTGTCCGAAGTGCATGCGCTGTTTCAGCGTCAAAGGAAACATGACTCGTCACTACAAGTATGAACAGAGTTTACACTCATGAATTTATTCAGTTTTTATTTCCTTTATACATAACTTGTTATTAATGCTGTTGACTTATTATGCAAGTTACATCATATGTTTTGTCTTGTAAATCATGTTTTTCCTTGCTGTTTTAATTTTATGACCGATAATAATGTACCAACATTAATTTGCATGTGTTACAGATACGAATGTGGAGTGGATCCCAAGTTTGGGTGTCCATATTGCGATTTTCGCAGTAAACAGACGTCCAACGTCATGTCACATATAAGAACGCGTCACTCAAATGATCGCGTTTACGTCGTTTATCTCGATTAAGATAAAAAGGTGTTTTGTTTTGGAACATTCAAGACTTCTTGAACTTTTGTTGAAAAGTGATGTGTCAATGTTATTGTATTGGTACTATACGATGGTAGGGATCATGAGAACATTAATATGATTACATTATAAATAAAAATTTAGGTGTATTTCTAGTGTTTCACCAGAAGAACTTTTTTTAATTGCCGATCGTGACTGAACCATACTTTGGAAGTGTAGTGTAGACAAATTGTTTTGTATTTTGATCAAAAAATTTTTTTTACTTGTTGCATCATGAATTTTCAAATATCTTTTTGATTTGTACAGATAAATATTTATTCTTTTGTTGAAAAATGTTGTTCATGTCAATATGTTATGCTTATTGAAATCCACGTGAAATACAAATATCATGTTTTTAATGAAATTAACTTTACAAGTGTAAATACGTAAGACTTAATGATATATATGTATATGATTATTTAGTTCGAATTTTAATATGTGATGTACATAAAACAGGAAGACTTGAATTTTGTGTCTTTCGTAAATTAAACAGGGAATAAAATGTGTTTGATTACATTACATTAAACGTTGATTTATTCACTTGAAAAAAAAAAAAAAATTATTTTACCGATACAACAAACTTCTCCATTATGTAACAGATACGTATTGCAAAACAGCTGTTATTTTGCTACTCGCAGGTAACGTGCAAAGAAAAAGAAAGATTTGTCAACTCTTCCCACTTATTTTTGAGTTATCACTAATAAATACAATTATTTTCACTAATATCCAAAAAGAAGGAAACCAACAACGGCATCTCGTAGGTTAAATATTTCAAAAAACCACTCTCTGACTATTTAATGCTCCGAAAAAAAAAAAAAAAAAATTCTTCACATGAACCCTTTACTAATCAAATAAAACAACCGATTATTTCTGTTCGCAGTGATCCTAGATCCCATCGAACTCCATACCTTGCCGCACGCCAAGCCAAGTCCCAAACCCTTGGTGACGACAAGGCGTTCAAGACGAGTGACAGTGCGCGGTCCCCAATGGCGCGAGAAGAGCTACTACTGTCCAAAGTGCAGTCGTGGCTTCACGTTGAAGAGTAACTGCAATCGGCATTTCCGGTAAGATTTTAATTTTACAATTGATCATCACAGTGTAGCAGGGTTAACTTGCATATGTTGCAGGTATGAGTGCGGAGTCAAGCCACGTTACAAATGCCCGTATTGTTTGCTGAGGAGTAAGCAAACCTCCCAGGTTTACTCGCACATAAGGAAAAAACACCCCTCCGAAAGAGTCTGCGTTATTAATCTCGACGACGTGGAGAACGACCAGTGATGAGGGAAATGATTTTTCGTTTCGCAACGAGAGATTAGTACGGATTGGGCGGGAATCCATTTTTTGTGGTCCTAAGTGTTTTGTTTGAGGGTGTGTTTTTTTTATTTTTTTTTTTATTTTGTCTCACTCATTGTTTTAAAGTGTTTCGATTTTTTCCTTTTTTTGCTTATTTGTTAGAAAATATAGAGTAAGTGTCGAGTCTTAATTAATACGGACGTATAAGGTAATGCCAAAAAGGTATCTCTGAATAATTGTGAGATAAAGAAAACGAAAAAAAAAATTTTGTTTAATGGCACCCTGGGATATACCTCGTTTTCAGTTCAGTCTATCTAACTTATCTGGCCCAGTGTCGGACCTTTATATTTCTCATGAAGAAATGTGCTGAGAAGAGTAACAGCACAAAAAAAATTAAAGATTCCGTTGTAATTTGTCTTGGAAAAAAAATAACATCAAAATACAAATTGTGTTGAAACTTTTCATTTATTAATTTTATCAAAGCTTGCTTTGTAGAGCTTTCGAGTGCTATTTGAACAAATATCTGACTTGATCCCAAGTGGAGTAGCGACGAAAAAAGAACCGTCATTTTTACAGAGTACAGTATTTTTTTGCCACCATTATTTTCAGCAAATCTTTATCACGGGTAAATATAATGGATATGATGTAGGACACACTAGATCGGTCGTACTAAACTGATGACAATGTCCACTCAAGTACATATCGTGTACTTTTAAATAATTCTGGAAGGTGTTATGCAAAATTTGTAATTCTCTTTATCTCATGATTCACCGGGACTTTCGATGGTACGATATCGTTTTGCAACTAAATTTACCAATAAATCCAAGCTTACCTTACAATGTTTTGCAGTATGTTTTGATGATTTGTGCATATTGATTTATTTTGAGATTTCACACAAAATAATGACTATTAGCAGAATAGGTCCGATATAATTTTATCAAACTGTTACGTTGAATTTAAAATATCAACTTTTTTTTGTTTATTTTTTTTTTTATAAACAACTTTTGAGTTACTGAGCTTGTGATTAACCTAGTTACTCGTTCTTTTAATATCTAGTAACCAGAATTATACCAGAACAAAGAAAGTATACATGAAATATGCGATAAATTTTACTTGTACAAGATTACGTGTGATCATTATAGTATAGGAACAGTGCCATTGTGATTAATTTTTTTTTCTTCGCTCAATATTACATGTGCATTTTGAAAGGTTTTAAAAACTACATAATTACGATGTTGATTTTTATCTTAAAAATAGGTACTTAAAATTAGTAGCTTCTAGTACAATCAGCGCTATGAAGATCAAGTAGTATGACAGCTAAAAAACGTATACAATCAATTTCATTACATAAATCAATGAAAATGAGTTCAATTACTACTTAATTAATTAAGATTAAGCCGGTAAACTTAATTACTTATACATTAACAACAAAGCTAACAAAGTCAGTTAGTCAAATGATGCTCTAATTGTAGAACTACTTGTATATGTATTGTGTGTACAATTTGTGTGTTTACGCTATTGATTGTAATATTTGTGACAATAAAAATACATACCAAAAAAAAATTGAGTATCATGTTTATAGTCAGATTTTTCTTAGTAATTTTACTGAAAACAGGTTTGTCAAATCGACTCTATATTGTTTTTAAAAACTTTTAACCTACAATAGTTTATCTGTACAGAGTAACAATTTTTTTATCTTTTGTTTCAGCTTTTCAGAAATTGAAAATTACAACCTGTAAGTATCAACATATGAAATAGTTAAGCAGAGTCTCTGTTTCGAAGAAATACATAAACGCCATTGGCAAGAGAATCAAAATTCAGTTTCAATAGTCATGGATTTTTTTTCTGCATATCGTAAGACAAGATTTAAAAAAAAATTTAGCTTTGATCTGGAGAAAGGCTTACTTACGTTTGTTAAAGGTATGACTAAATTCTGACCTGTGAAAAAGCTACCTTCGATGTAGACTTGAGGAATTCGTTGATTTCTCACTTTTTCCGCAAAAAAGATGATGCGATTTAACGATGCATACATCGGTCTGTAATCAACTGTTTTTTGGTCTATCAGTGAGCACGTTGAATAATAATTTAATGTTGCTAAAAACGATTGGCAATTGATTTCTGTATGTATAAATTTTGCATTATGGTATTTGTAACCATACATCTTCTAATTTATATATAAAAAAAAAAAAAAAACCAAATATTTCTTATTAATTTCGAGAGACCTAACAAGTTTAAACTTATGCTGATGAAGTGAAAATTTTTTTATGTTGCAGTCTTGTCGCCAAAACTGAAAAGAAAAAAACATGTTCAATTACATTGAGGTGGATTTAGTAACCGAAAATTGAACTGAGAAAGAAGATTTCTTTGACTCTTGAAAAGAAGTATTTGTCTGCTACAAGTGTCAAGTGGAAAGACAGCTTACGTCATCATGAAGTTTACAAGTGCAACGAAACAATCCTTTTTCGTTGTCTTTGTTGTGCTTTTGTATTAAAATTGTTATGTAATGTAAGGGTTCGACATCTTGTAAAGAAAATTTTTTTATATTTGTTTGAAATAAAAATTGAATATTTTTGTTTCTTTCAAGTTAAATAGATTATGTACGAACTGTAAATACATTCAATAATAAATTTTACCGAATCACCATCATTTACAGTTTTAAATAAGAGATTAAGTAAAAAAAGTGCTGAGATTCTAAAATAACTGTTACCTTACTTTTAACCTTAATTTTAAATTCTTTTTGTAAACTTGTTTACTTAGACATGAAAAAAGTATGCTTACCATATTTCAGTTTGGCGAAAAAACCAAAGTATCTACAAGGTCTTGGTCAAAATTCACTGTTGAGAAGTGATGAAACGCTTTGCAAGATGCACTAATATCATTATCACCATCACCTTTTTTCATCTTGTAGTTATTAACATGAAATTTGGCACTAGATATGGTTGTATTTTTATAGGAATAGATTTGTTTATTTATGAGCTCGTAAAGTAGGGTTGGGTAAACTCTTTCGTTTTTGTATTTTTGGAGGGTACAGAAAGACATTTTGTCAAAAACGGATAAGCACTAAAGTCAAGTATGAAATCGCTTCCTTTCATGCGATCATAGGACATTGATAGGATCAACAATTCGAGAAAATTCAACTCCACATACTGCGCTAACCCCCTGGAATTGGCGTACATTGTATTCGTTTTAAAAATATGCGTGTGTACACATTATTTCTAAATCATGTATTCATCACAAATAAATTGTACAACAGTAACATAAAATTGTCATAAAATCAGCTTCGATAAATCCAACGAGATCCACCCCTAAACTATTTTCCTTCAAGCATTCAAGTTGTATAGTAATTATTTGTTGATGTAAATAACCCATTAAATGCTGATTGCCTGCTTTAATAAGTTTTCGATGCAAAATAAAATTACTTCGCTTTATCGATTAAAAATAAAAATAAAAATAAGGCTCAATAAAATTTCCACGAGCGTAACTAGAAGTATTTTTTGCTTTTTATTTTTCAGCTCCAACAAAACTGAGGATAAACGATGTGCGTAGTTTAGTAGTTAAGTATCTTCAAACTAAACGCAAATGTGGAGCCAGCGAACAAAGGAAAATTCCAAAGGGTGAAAGTGGTAGCCAAACCCAAGAGGGAGGCTCGGAAAGATTTAAATGCAGCGATTGCAACAGGAGCTACAAGCAGTTCGGAAGCTTAAGTCGCCACAGGCGTTTCGAGTGCAATCTGGATCCGAGATATGCTTGTATTTACTGCACTTTCCGCGTAAAGCATCTGTGGCTCATCAAAAACCATGTTGCATCGAAGCATCCTGGAAAAGATGGATGGCGTGATTTATTCAAATGATTTCATCTATTTTTTTTTTTTTTTTTTCTTTTTTGTTTGTTCTATAGGTACTTTTTACTGTTATATCACTCATTACTACTATCCAGAATAGTAATTTTCACTGAGAAATAATCACCTTACTAGCTGTAACATCTACTGTCCCTGACAGTAAAAAGTCCCTCGAGGACGAAATGCCATCAGCTGATAGTTACAGAGTAGAAGTTTTTTATGATTAATTTTTTTAGCGTCTTGTTTTTATCAAGTTAAGCGATTTGCCAATAATGAACGATCCATTTAGATTTACTTGAACTCATGATAAACTTATGAGAGATCAGTGATGGGAAACTTGGCTTTTCACACAATTATCTAATTGGGAAAGGCAGTTGTTCAATGACTAATGTATTTGTAAGTTAATTTTAAATTTCGATAAGAAACTTTAGGGTCTTATATACTTTGTAATAAAAGTGAAGGTGAAGGTAACAAAAATAGAAAGTAGATCGGGAATGTATACGATAAATGTAAAATTACAAGTATGAAAGCCTTTTTTTTATGATAAACGAAAATATTGGACAGGTTTTATCAATGATCAATGACACATTTTTAACAATACTTTAGTTGATTATAAATCTTTCTTATCAATTATATGCAGTTATTTTTACCTAATCGTTCATTTTTTAGTTTACTTTATAAGTACATTTAATCAAATTTCATCGATACTTTTATGATTTGTTATTTATAATTGGTTTATAATACAAACCAAAATGTAATACACTGAATGGTACATGAATCCACGTGATTAAATAATTTAATCATGGACAGCCATTGCTCGTATTTGAATAGTATTGAATATCATACACTGGTTCGATTCAGACAAAAAGCAGACTATTTATTTTTAAGACTTAAAACTACAATATTCATGACAATGAATCCCTTGTATGAACTTATGAAAGAAATTATTTTACAATTAATGTACAGATTCAGTGGATTATTACACCGTAGTAAAGTATTGTTTAAATCTCGAGACTGGTGCAAACGAACGAACAAATTTTGATGCTGACATAATTCTATAGGTTTAATTAAAGCAAGTCGTTGGGTTGTATAAATTTATTGTCAGTCATTTCAATGAAGTTTGTAATGTACAACATTATTTTTCAATAAATGCAATCAACTTCGAATTGAACACGTTTTTTTTTTTTTTTTTAATATTTTCTTCCTCCAATGCCGATCTAGCTAGTTGAAACAAATATTTAATTCTCCATCAGTACACGTAACAATTGGGTGGCCAAGGTACTACTTATACTTTAGATCTAATAGAGCATGTCAGCTTGATTGATTGCATTATTCGCATTTGAGATTATCCAAGGTAGAAATGAAAAACTTACGCCCATGAAATTACAACAGCTACTCACTGAGAATATTTTTTTTCCCCCCAACTATTACACCAATTTCCTTTTACACCTCACCATCGCTTAAAGCACCCCCTAACAATAAAAACTGTCGTGATTCCATGTTTTAGTTGCCTCGCTGCGGAACTTCAATATCCAACAGCTTCCTCTAATTAAGAATTTTGCAATGTGGATAAACAAGCATCAGGAGAGCCAACGACAGCAGCAACAGCAACACCAGCAGCAACAAAACAACGCCTGTGCCTATCGCTGCGACATCTGCGGCAAAGGTTACCAGCACCGGGCAACCCTACTTCGGCATACTCGGCACGAGTGCAACAAACCGCCGAAATTTCGTTGCCCGTACTGCGCCCATCGTACAAAACAGAAGGGCAATTTGTACCAACACGTTCGCACGAATCATCCATCAAAAATGGTCTACTCCATTTCGGACTAGAGATACAAAGATTTGCCGTGACGAGATTTTTTTTATCCTTATTTACATGCGTATTTTAGTTAGGTGTACCCTTTTTTTTTTTTTTTTTTTTTTTTTTTTTTTTTTTTTTTTTNCTGTTTTATTGTAAATATAGGTATTTCTTTGTCGAACGAAGATATATGCATACAAGTGGGACAAGATATACGTTTACATCGATAATTTTGTATTTGGAATTATTTAAAACTTTAAGTATATTAGTTATAAGTCCAACATACTATCTGTTAATTTATTCTAATTAAACATTTTTAGACCCCGGTGTGTGAATCAAAATAACAAAAAAAATATATACATATATAAATAGTGTAGAAATTTGCAGTTAACTCGAAACTAAAGTATTAATCCTTTGGAATACTATTTAGTTAACGCACAACTATTTTATAAAGCCTAATGAACATATATAAAAAACAAAATTTGTGACTGTAAAAAGTATTAATTAAAATATAGTGTATAGTTTAGATACACAAGTTGACACGAAATAGGCTAAGAGTTACATAAGTTAGGAGCGTTATACAATTATACCACATAATTCTCATAGGTTACATCATATTTTACATATGAAACCATCTTAAGTATGTATTAGGAGAAAAGCAAGGTTTTAATTTTACATGATTTTTTTTGTACTTATATATATAGTTTCGTATGAAATCATTATTTTATAGGAACAATTTTATAGTATTTATGATAATTGATTCGATGTTGCGAATGCAACGCACGAAATAAGTATAGAAAATTTTGTATTCAATTTTATTTTATACAAGACGCCCTGTATAATTTTTTTGTAGATGTTATTAATGAAATACGAATATTAATACTCAAGTTACCAATACAAGAGAGTGTCGATCGCTCTTCAGCCAAAATAACAAACCTGCCTATGCAGTACTTATGAATTAGTGTACAGTAGTATTATTATACCGTTGTATGGTACCTTTTTTAAAATAAATACTTAAAAATAGAAAATCAAAAGATTTTTTTTTTTAATTCCTCCTAATAAAAACCTTGGATAGTTTTTTTTTTTTTTTTTCAATTTGATGTTAACTCGCTCATTGTTTTATGCCTCTTAAGTTTATTTAAATCTTTTCAATTTTGGAATCCAATTTTTTTTTTTATGCCTAGATGTGCAAAGGATCACCACAGCCATATCTCGCTAACAGAAAGTCCTTTTATTTTTCAGAATTTCAAAGGATTTATGTACCAAGTTATCAGCTTTTCAACCACACCAGCTCGACAATCGCCCAACAACAAGAACAGCAATTTGCGCCTCAAAAATATCTCAATGGGCCCGGGCGTTTTACTTGCTTTAAATGTGGTAACGTTTACCGCTGGTACCGCAACTTGACGACGCACTTGAGGTTGGTATCAATACATAAATAATAAATACTAAATTAACGTTGATGATTAATACATTGTTAATAAATTAATAACAAGGTTGGAGTGTGGCAAGGATCCCAACGTCGTCTGTCCTTATTGTCCTCTGCGTACGAAACACAAAACCAGCATGCGGACGCACGTGCGACGCATACACAATTTGAGCTACGATAATTAGTTAATTTTTTTAATGTAGAAAATTTGTAAAATATCACATCTCTCGCTCGATTTATGAACTTGTTTTCAAAAATATTGAAAATTGTAAATCATGGTATCGAACACCAGGATATTAATATTACGTTGTTGAAGAAGTAGTTTTAAATTTAGCGATGAATTATTCCAGCCACCAATGAACTAGTATGATTCGTATATTTATAAATCAAAATGTAACAATAAATTGTAGATACATGTATTCTGATTTAAGATTTGTTTTTCATTTAAAGTTTCCTTTTATCCACTTACGTTTACACGGTTAGTATTACTAATAATTTTTCTGTGATTTTTATTAGTGTCAATTTCACTAACTAGTATATTTTATTTTTCAGGTTGACGTTCAATGTAGACAGCGCCTTTTTTGGGCATAATTTTGTTTCGTTTCTTCATTGGAAGATTCTTATAACATCGTGGATATGAAAGAAGACGACTGCATTTATAAACAGTTCATGTACCACATGGATTATTAAAATAAATTTTATAAAAACTGCCACTCAAAGTTAACTATTAACAATGTAAGAACAAATCTACAGCCGGATCGCCAGTTTATTGTACCACCAACATCAACATTCAAAGATGACATTGACACATTACTATTATGAGCATGAAAGAACTGCATGCGCAAATGAGTGTTTGTTTTTAAATTTCTTTCCTTTTATTTACAATCAGTATTGTATTAATGTTACTTTATTATTTTTTGCTGCATTCCATTTTCAAAAAATACCAGCATTTCCCCCCCCCCCCCC